CTCACCACAACCTCCGTCTCCTGGGTTCAAGCAATTCTCCTGCCTCAGCCTCCCGAGTAGCTGGGACTATAGGCGTGCGCCACCATGCCCAGCTAATTTTTTGTATTTTTAGTAGAGATGCGGTTTCACCATGTTGGCCAGGATGGTCTCGATCTCTTGACCTCGTGATCCACCCGCCTCGGCCTCCCAAAGTGCTGGGATTATAGGCGTGAGCCACTGCGCCCGGCCAACACCTGTTAATTTTTTATCTATGAGGAATAATATTACTCTCCTTCCAAGGAAGGAGGAAGAAAGGGGAATGAGATGAAGCCTGAAAATGTACTGTCCCAGTGTCTATCACACACTCAAAAAACCTTATAATTTCTGGGCCATGACTGATGTCCATGACAGCCTTACCTCCTCTCGCAGCTCATACTGCTCAATCAGCTTCTTGAGCCTCTCAGCCAGCTCCATGTTCTCTTGTCGCAGCTTGGAGTTGCGCTCATTGTGCTGTTCCATCTGCAGCTGAATGTCATTCAATGTCACCTGGAAGTGCGAAGTCACCTCCTTGCGCTTCTCCTCCTCCTCCCGGGCCCGCTGCACACCTTCTTCCTGGGCAGAGAAGGCAGCCCTAGAGCCATCACCCACTGCTACCTCACAAGGCTCCCCCAACTAGTCCACAGATGGTCTCTGCCAAAAGCCCTCCCTGCTCCCAAAGTGAGGAGTAGCCAGGCTCCAGGATGTTGTGTAATGTGAGTTCCAGTGGTCCCCTCTGTATATCAGGTGACAAATGAGATTGTCACCCTAGAAAAATGCAGGCACATCTGTAAGTGTCATTCTGAAGCAAGTTGGATTTCCAGATTTCAGATCGATGTGCATTTGTTCCCTCTGTGCCCCCAAAGACCAAGCTGTTAAAATTTAATAACACCCAGGGTTTGCAAAGTTGTGCAAATTTAGGCACTCAACACTTCTGATGGGGGAGGCACACTGCCCCCTCACTGGAAGACATCCAGTAAAATCTATTAACATTAAAAATCTGCATATACTTTGACCTAGCCATTTCACTTCCATGACTTACCCTACAGGTAAGTTCTATATAACTGACCAGCGATAAATATAACAAGAATTTTCACTATAGTTCTATATGTAATAGTGAAAAATGGTGAACAACCCAAAAATGTCTTAACTAGGGCACTGATAAAATATAATGTATCCACATAATGATGTTATGCTCTTAAAAAGAGTGAAGATAAGGCTGGGCACAGTAGCTCACGCCTGTAATTCCAGTACTTTGGGAGGCTGCGGTGGGCAGATCACAGGCTCTGAAGTTCGAGACCAGCCTAACCAACATGGTGAAACCCCGTCTCTACTAAAAATGCAAAAAAATTAGCTTGGTGTTGTGGCAGGTGTCTGTAATCCCAGCTACTCAGGGGGCTGAGACAGGAGAATCCACTGAACCCAGGAGGCAGAGGTTGCAGTGAGCCAAGACCGTGCCATGGCACTTCAGCCTGGATAACAAGAGTAAGACTCTGTCTCAAAAAAAAAAAAAAAAAAAGGATATGAAACGGTACATGTATAATAATTTCATGCTAGAAACGTGATATTTTTACATATTAAAAGAAGAAAATGGGCCGGGCGCGGTGGCTCAAGCCTGTAATCCCAGCACTTTGGGAGGCCGAGGCGGGTGGATCACGAGGTCAAGAGATCGAGACCATCCTGGTCAACACGGTGAAACCCCGTCTCTACTAAAAATACAAAAAATTAGCTGGGCATGGTGGCATGTGCCTGTAATCCCAGCTACTCAGGAGGCTGAGGCAGGAGAATTGCCTGAACCCAGGAAGCGGAGGTTGCGGTGAGCCGAGATCGCGCCATTGCACTCCAGCCTGGGTACCATGAGTGAAACTCCGTCTCAAAAAAAAAAAAAAAAAAAAAAAAAAAAAAAAAAAAAAAAAAAAAAGAAGAAGAAAGTTGGAAGAATGTATGTAAATTTCCTGTAACCACAGACTGCCCTCACTATAGAAGCAGCACAACGTTGGAAAGACCCAGGTTCCTGACTGACCAACCTCTGGAACAAGAGCTGCTTGTCAGGGCCAGACCTCCGCTTACCAGGTAACTGCCTTTCATTGAGAAATATTGATGCCAGTGCATTACAGATTCTCTTAACACCTTATCCTTATCTAATACATTTCAAATGGTTACAAGTAGTACTCTCTAATGTAAGGCATTACTGAGAAAGTGTATTTCTATGCCACAACCCTGCACTTTTTTTTTTAAAAAAGACAGGGTTTCACCATGTTGGTCAGGCTGAACTTCTGACCTCAGGTGATCTGTCCCCTTTGGCTTCCAAAGTGCTTGGATTACAGGCGTGAGCTACCACACCTGGCCCCTGCACTATTTTTTTTTAAAAATTATTTATTTATTTATTTAGAGACAGAGTCTTGCTCTGTCACCCAGGCCGCAATCTCAGCTCACTGCAACCTCCACCTCCCAGGTTCAAGTGATTCTCCTGCCTCAGCTTCCCAAGTAGCTGGGACTACAGGTACCCACCACCATGCCAGGCTAATTTTTGTATTTTTAGTAGAGACGGTGTTTCACCATATCGGCCAGGCTGGTCTCGAACTCCTGACTTTGCGAATTGCCTGACTTGGCCTCCCAAAGTGCTGGGATTATAGGTGTACGCCACTGTGCCTGGCCACTACTTTTTTTTGAGACAGTGTCTCACTCTGTTGCCCATGCTGCAACGCAGTGGTGCAATCTCGGCTCACTGCAACCTCAGCTTTCTGGGTGCAAGGGATTCTCGTGCCTCAGCCACCTGAGTAGCTGGATTATAGGCATGCACCAGCACACTTGGCTAATTTTTGTATTTTTAGAAGAATGGGGTTGTGCCATGTCGGCCAGGTTGGTCTCAAACTCCTGGCCTCAAGTGATCCACCTACTCTGGCCTCCCAAAGTGTTGAGATTACAGGTGTGAGTCGCCATGCCCAGCCTTGCTTTTTTACAGTATTCCATGTTGAAACTGTAATGTTTTGGATAATATAAATATATTACTAAAATTAATTTTACCTGTTTTAGTTTTTTAGAGTGGCCAGATTTTTAATTACTTATGTGGACCACTAAGCCCAGCCCTAGCCTGCACTACTTTTTAAGAGGAAAGCCCATGAAAGAAAGTCCAGGCAGAAGTCAAGGAAACCAGAGTCGCATGTTCAAGGGTGCCCAGCGCCTACCTTGAGGGAGCGATTGTGCCGCTGCAGCTCACGGCATAGGCTCTCAAGCTTGCTACGGGCCAGGACGGCCTTGCTGTGCTCACCACGCAGGTGGTCCTTCTCTTGCACCAGCTGGCTCTGCTTTTTCTGCAGGAGCTTCATCTGCTTCTGTGAGTTCCGGTGCTCCTCCAGCTGGGGACAGGGATAGGGAGGGCAGGTGAGCATTCTGTTGGGCCTTCCTGGTGGGGATCACTACGCGGGTCTAGGGTCTCCTGAGCTGCCCTGACCCATACCCTCTCAGGCCACAAGTGTTGTCATGGGCTGATGCTGTGCTGGCGCTTATATACTCCTCCCATGAGCTGCTCACAGTAACCCCAAAGGGTCCACCGTAGGGAGGGAGAAATGGACACTCACTAGGACAAGCAGGGGCCTCACAGCCAGCAGGTGCCAATTCCTATTCCAGCTCTGACTCTGGGTCACTAGAGCCACTTCAGGCTGTTGCATTTCCCCAATTTGCTGGACACTCATGCCCAAGGATGAGACCCCCTGCTAGTCTACCTTGTGCCCATTAACAGACCCCTATCGCTCCCTCTCATCCCTTCAAAATGTTACCACTGGGTTAACACCAGCACCCTGCCCAACATAATTGCTTTTCTCATTTGTGGCCACTTCAGTATCAACAGACAATCCTTCTGACTCCCTGGCCTCACAGTTCTTCACCTCTTCCACAAACCCAGTCCTTTTCCCACCTCAGCTCCCCTCCCATGACCCTTCCTGGCCACTACTTTTTTTAAGACAGTGTTTCACTCTGTTGCCCATGCTGTAATGCAGTGGTGCAATCTTAGCTCACTGCAACCTCAGCTTCCTGGGTACAAGGGATTCTCGTACCTCAGCCACCTCAGTAGCTGGATTATAGGCATGTACCAGCACACTTGGCTAATTTTTGTATTCTTAGTAGAATCCAGGCCTGTACAGCAGAAATATAATGCAAACTATGTAAATAATTAAAAATATTCTGGCCGGGCGCAGTGGCTCACGCCTGTAATCCCAGCACTTTGGGAGGCCAAGGCGGGCAGATCACGAGGTTAAGAGATCGAGACCATTCTTGCCATGATGAAACCCCATCTCTACTAAAAATACAAAAATTAGCCGGGTGTGGTGGCACGCACCTGTAGTCCCAGCTACTCGGGAGGCTGAGGCGGAAGAATCGCTTGAACCCAGGAGGCGGAGGTTGCAATGAGCCGAGATTGCACCACTGCACTCCAGCCTGGCGACAGAGCAAGACTCCGCTTAAAAAAAAAAAAAAAAAATTTCTATTGGCCACACTAAAAAAGTAAAAAGAAACAGCTGAAATTAACTTTAGTTATACATATGACTAAAATTATTAATTAAGCCAGGAAGCATATATATATAATATATATATATAAATAATATATATATATAATTTTTTTAAATTTTTTCTTTTTCGATACTGAGTCTTGCTCTGCCACCCACGCTGGAGTGCAGTGGCGAGATCTCAGCTCACTGCAACCTCCGTCTTCCGGGTTCAAGCAACTCTCTTGCCTCAGCCTCCCAAGCAGCTGGGACTACAGGCCCGCACCACCATGCCCAGCTAATTTTTGTATTTTTAGGATAGAGACGGGGTTTCACCATGTTGGCCAGGTTGGTCTCAAACTCCTGACATTGTAGTCCACCCGCCTAGGCCTCCCAAAGTGCTGGGATTACAGGCGTGAGCCACGGTTCCCGGCTGTAATATATTTATTTAACCCAATATCCAAAACATTACAATTTCAACATGAAATCAATGTAAAAAAGTGAGGCCAAGAGTGGTGGCTCACAACTGTGATCCCAACACTTTCGGAGGCCAAGGCAGGTGGATCACTTGAGGTCAGCAGTTCAAGACCACTCTGGCAAACATGGTGAAACCCCGTCTCTACTAAAAAAAAATACAAAAAATCAGCCAGTTTGGTGGCATGCGCCTGTAATCCCAGCTACTCGGGAGGCTGTGAGGCAGGAGAATCATTTGAACCTGGGAGCAGGTGACAGCACCGCTGCACTTTTGCCTGGGTGACAGAGTCAAACACTGTAAAAAAAAAAAAAAAAAAAAAGTGAGATATTTTATATTCTTTATTTTTGCTTGTCTTCAAAATCTGATGTGTATCTTACATTTATAGCATGTTCAAAATCAGACTGGCTACATGTCAATTAGCTAGAGATGACTCTATCCTGGACAGCGCAGATCTAGGCTTTGTCACTACAAGAGAGCACACCCACTATCTCAATTTCCAGCAGCCCAGGCCAGGACTACTACAACCTATCTTTTTAGCCATTCCAATCAAAATCTGTGATCCTCAGGAAGTCTCTTACCCTATAGGACCCCCAATCCACTGACTCAACCATCCTTCCACTCTCCTTTAAAATAACCACTTACCTTATTACCTGGCTTAGATTTCTTACACCCTCACTCTCTTGGCCCTTCCCCAGATACTGCAACCCTAGTAATGCACCTTCCTGCTTTAAACAGCACTAGAACAACCCTACTTGAAGAGTCTCACTTTAAATTCATGGCCACCAATTTCAGGAAGACCAGAAATCCCAATACAATGCACATGCTATTCACATTCCTGTCCTTCCAGACAAATATTTAATCGTCCTCATCAAATCTCAAAACAGAATAAACCAGAGAATGAGGGGCACAAGCTCCACATCTGCCAGTCCACCTGCCCCATCTTTTCCTCCAGTCACACAGACCTAGCCATGTGGTTACCACAGCCAAGTCCCCTTCTTGAGCACTGGGCCTCAGCTCCCCTCTGCTCAGAAGACCACTCCAGCAACTCACTTCCTCTCTTTATCAGCAACTTTTCCCTGGCTTGATCACTCTAAAAGGGTGCTTATCTTCTTTATACTTCTTATTTAATCCTTCTAAGAGTATCATTAGGCAGGTATGACATTTCCTATTTTACAGATGAGCAAAAGTTCCTTACAGGAAAATATTAATAAATGTGCATGGAATGAATGAATTTTTAAATAAATAGGCCATGATAGGCTATGACCATCAATGAATGAATCTGCAGTTCAAATTCTGATGGAGAACCTGATGAAAGAATTTGGTTGCTCTACCTCAACCCACTGAATAATGTTACAACAGAGTGGGAAGGGCACACTTTGTATTTATTGTGAGGAAACATGAAGTACAGAGTAGTATTCTTCACACTACGCATAAAAATTTCTTGTCAAAAAAGTTGAAGCTGGGGCCGGGCGCGGTGGCTCAAGCCTGTAATCCCAGCACTTTGGGAG